AGATAGATAGATAGATAGATAGATAGATAGATAGATAGATAGATAGATAGATAGATAGATAGATAGATAGATAGATAGATAGATAGATAGATGGATGGATGGATGGATGGATGGATGGATGGATGGATGGATGGATGGATGGATGGTCGGTCCATTCTGTGCGTAAAGAGGACCGCTCCTGGTTTACCTCTCTTCAGCTCCTAGTTCTCCCTCCAGGTCCCTTCATCCTGACGCTGCAGTAGAAACTCCACATGCTCCAATCCAACTATATCCTCCTGATGTGCTGCTGATGCTGATGCTGCCGGTCCAGCCGATCATATCCTTTAGGTGACTTAATTCCGCTCGGGTTTACAGTTCAGATTCGGCTTCTTTCGGAGGGGTGCGTCCTCTCGGCTTCCAGCGCCTACATCCTTCTCCGGTTCGGTCTCCTCTCTCTTTCTGCTTCATCCCTCCATCCTCCTGCCCCCCCACCCGGAGCGGAGAAATACCATCCAGCAGGAGAAAAGTGGAGTGATTCCCGGACCCAGAACTCTCCACTCCTCCTGCTCTGATCCTCTGCTTTCTTCTCACTTCTTATTGATACTGAAACTGGCAATTTTCCAGCAGAAGACAGAAAAGCTTCCAGGTGAAAGAGAAAGTCATCTTTCCTCTGAGGAAGCTGCTCCTGGAACCCTCCTAGAGATCCATCAGATGCTTCTCTCTGCCTGCAACCAGGTGATCCATCAGTTCTTCTGTTTGGATCCTGGTGGAGAACCGCTCCAGGTCCGATCCAGCCCCCAGCCTCTGCTCTAGTCAGGAATGGATCAGAACCAGGAAGGTTCTGCTGAAGCTCTCCTCCTGTCAGAGCGCTGCGCTGCGCTCCGGTCCCGATCCTCGGAGCTCCTGGAAGGGCGCTTCTCCTGCACAGTAATCCTCACCGCACAGCAGGAATGAAGAGAGTCAAGCCAGAAAGGACTACTTCCTGCATTGGATTTCAAAATAAAAGCCGTCTAACAGCCTTTCAGCAGCATAAAAACACATGTACGTATTTCTTTACTTATTTCTACTTCTTTTAATGTGTCCTCTCAATAATTATGTTTTTGTTGTTTTTCTAATTATCTAATCAGCTTCAGCTCTGAGGTGTTTATGTTTAAAAAAAACACAGATTTTTTTCTTCTATTTCGAAATCGTAACATTACAAAAATAAAGTTGTAAAATTAAAAGCATAAAGTCGTAACATTACAAGAATAAAGTTATAACATTACAAAAATAAAGTTATAACATTACAAAAATAAAGTCGTAAAATTACGAGAATAAAGTCATAAAATTCAGAGCATAAAGTAGTAACATTACAAGAATCACGTTGAAACATTATGCGAATGAAGTAAAATCACGAGAATAACGTCATAAAATGACGAGAATAAAATGATAAAATTCAGAGCAATATCGTTGAAACATTACGAGAATAAAGTTATAAAATTAAGAGAATAAAGTCGTAAAATGACGAGAATAAAGTCATAAAATTACGAGAATAAAGTTATAACATTACGCGAATAAAGTCGTAAAATTACGAGAATAAAGTTGTAAAATTAAGAGCATAAAGTCGTAAAATTACGAGAATAAAGTCGTATAATTAAGAGCATAAAGTCGTAACATTACAAGAATAAAGTTATAACATTACAAAAATAAAGTTATAACATTACAAAAATAAAGTCGTAAAATTACGAGAATAAAGTCATAAAATTCAGAGCATAAAGTAGTAACATTACAAGAATCACGTTGAAACATTATGCGAATGAAGTAAAATCACGAGAATAACGTCATAAAATGACGAGAATAAAATGATAAAATTCAGAGCAATATCGTTGAAACATTACAAGAATAAAGTCGTAAAATTACGAGAATAAAGTCGTATAATTAAGAGCATAAAGTCGTAACATTAAAAGAATAAAGTTGTAAAATTAAGAGCATAAAGTCGTAAAATTACGAGAATAAAGTCGTATAATTAAGAGCATAAAGTCGTAACATTACCAGAATAAAGTCATAAAATTATGAGAATAAAGTTATAACATTACGCGAATAAAGTCGTAAAATTACGAGAATAAAGTTCTCAAATTAAGAGCATAAAGTCGCAACATTACAAGAATAAAGTTTAGCAGCGAACTCTGCTCTCCAGAGCAAGTAGATTGGTAACCCCGCCTCCGGCTCTCCTCTATCTTGTCTGCTGTCATGATTCATGCAGCTATTATTTCATCCAAATGAAAAATGAAGAAAAGGGACAAAACCTAGAACAAATAATGAATGTCTATTCTATTAACATTTCTCTATCTATAGAATGGGTCTGTTTTCTGTGTTGTCTACTCAGTTCAGAGGGGCCCCTGCCTGTCTTTGCCTAGGGCCCCACATTTCCTAAATCCAACCCTGGGGTCAGGAACAGTTGGAGAGGGCCCCCATTGGCCCTTATCTTGAAGCGCACATGTTGGGAATCCGTGTAGTTTTGTTAGTAAAATAATTCTCATTGCAATCATAATAATAATCCGCCACAAAAAACTCCAGCAGAGCTTTTAGTTCCTCTAACTGCTGCATCCTTCGTTGACAAATGAACATTGTTGCAGATCATTCCTCCCAGCAGCAGTGAAGACTTTAGAATCATCTCTGCTCTCAGAGAGTTGTTTACATCCACTGTTAAATGAACAGTTTTCGTTTCTGGTCACCATATTTTTTTGTTTTGTTTTGTTTCTTTGTTTTGTGCATGAATATTAAGATTTTTGAAAGCAAGGAACAAATTTCAAAAATTGCACTTTGAAAAACTTCTTGCTTTTGAGGGTATTTTTTAATTTGCCTATAAATATTCAACCAAATCTGCTTTTCAGATTAAAATTTTCCAAATTTATAGTTTTTTTTCCTCCAATAATTATAAACTAAAACGCTGCTTCCTGATTCTTTAAACTCCTCCCTATGGAAGGTGCATCACAAACATCTGAACTGATCCCAAATCAGCAGCACCATCATTGCTGAGCAGCGTTTAGTGGAAATGACTAAGTCCTTTCCTGTGAAGACAGCAGCTTTTATATTCACATCTCATTTCCTGTCTGACTGTGAATCTATTCTAGAAATTGACTCCATCTATCCGCTTCCTGCATAGAACTTCTGCTTGTTCAGTGTTTCTTTTTTTTCTATTTCTTTCCGCCTTATGTGACGTACTTTAGCATGAACAGTCCTGTCAGATCTGTACGAAGATTGATTTCTCATCTGTGTGTTGGGATGTGGCACTGATGACTGGGGGTCGCAGTACTCTGAGTGTCGATGTATAAGGTTGTAATTGTTGATTTTGACCTTTTTGTTTGTGTATTTATGTATATATTTGTATACATGTATGTATGGAGATATATATGGAGGTATATTTACATGTGTGTACATAAATGTATATAATTGTGTATATCTATATGATATATATATATATGTTGTGTGTGTGTTTGTGAATATTGGACAAAAAAAAGTTAAACAGGAAGGTTACTCTACTTTAAGTTAATTTAAGTGCAATTAGAGGGAGAGCAGGTATGAAAAATAAGTTTTACTTCTTCACTGGAAAATGATATAGAATTAAGTAAAACCTTTCTTAAATTAAGTGTATTTACCTTTAATTTGAACAGGTAAAAAAGATAGGAGTATTTTCACTCTTAAAATAAGATAATTAGATAATACGCACTTGAAATGAGACATTGAAATTGTTTTTTTTCTCATTATAAAGGCACATTTTCTTGTTCCATTGGCAAAATGTCTCACTTATCTCCTCAATTCAAGAACAAAATGCACCTCTTAATATCCACCTCATTTTGGGTTATTTGCTTTTTTTTTTTTTTTTTAGAAAAAGCTGTAAGCCCAAATTTCATGTGCAATACATTATTTAAAAGCTAACGCCTTCTAGTTTCTGAATATATAAATGTATTTATATTCATATAATGCATATATTTATATAATATATAAATGAATATAAATTAGCTGAGTAGAACACAGACCAAGCCGCATTAGTTCAAACATGAATCAAAGTTTTTTTTTATTTTTCCTGTAAATAATAGGTCTTTTTTGAACAGCAGTAATAAAAACATGCTTAAGAAAATGCATTTCTCATTCTATTACATTTATTTACACCATGTCAACCACAAATACAGGAAATTTCAGACCTCTAGCTGTAACAGTTTCAGAGCTGTGGGGCTTTGAATTTTTGGTGTCACCAGAAATCTCTAATTGTGCCAAATGCTTTTACTATGCTTTGCTTTACTCTTTGACTCATAGAATAACATTAAATAATTTTGATGGTGACAAAACATTTTCTAAAGCAAGTTTTTCCACTTTTTTCAGAATCAGTGTATATAACAAAAGTAAACATTTTTACACCTACATAGGGTGAAATGTGTGGGGGGGGTTCAAAATCATCCAGGATTTTGGCCGACTACAGCCCTGCATGTTGCCGAAACAGGGAGCCTGGGGGTGGGGGGACGAAGTGACCAAACCCGGCAGCATACCATCACCGGGTCAGGTTTGGTCCCTCACTCTCCTGTTGAGGCCTGGTCTGGTCCAGTCAGCAGCCCAGCAAACCCCCTCAAATGAAGCCTTATTTCATTGGCTACAAAGCCCAGCAGCCCCACGTGGTCCTAACCAATAACAGCAGGGCTTTATGAGGCATAATATCGCGCAACTTGGTGCGTCATTGGCTGACAGGAAATGACCAGAAGTGAGATTTCAGTGACTCTATCTGACTCAAATCGAGTCATAAAAAGAAATGGACACTTGTGTCTTGTAGATAGGAAGGTGATGTAAAGAACCATAACAAACCAAACATTGCGGGCTAACAACACAGGAAATAAGTACTAGGAAGTAAATATTAGCAAGACGCTAAGCATTAGCCTGGCCAGCTAACTCTTCTGAAGTCAACAACCGGACGTTATGGCCGATTTTCTCATCATGGAATATTTTTATTACGAATATGCTGGATTAGTTTTAATCTGTGGACCCTTATGGATGAATGGAGTATAAAAATTGAAGATTGGATTGATAAAACGGCTTTTGGACGCCTTCAAAAGTATGTAGCTGTGGCTGCTTTGACATGTTTGCATATTGACATGCTTGGTTAATTTGAAAATTGTTGAGCAGCCATACTTAGGAATAGATATGCTGTAGGTTGTTCATACTGGTTTTAATTTTGAGAATGAGTGGCACAGTGTTTTGACGTCCGTACACGGTTCAATGGTGTCACATATTTAGCGGGTCGACCCGGTTCTGGTGTTCCCACAGCATGGCGATCAGAACTGAGGAGATTTTAACGATGGTCACTGAGCGAGTCAAACGACCATTTTAATATATTAAGATATTAAAATGGACAGGGATAAGTTCTTGAAGGACTTTGGCCTGGTAGGTCACCACTAATAATTTCCACTTTTTTCCCATTTTCCACTCATTTACTTCTGCCAACAGTAACTGGGGTTGGGTGCAGCTATTCAGAGCATTTTAAATCCCTGTTTTTATCCTCTCTCCCACTGTTTCCGTGTCCTCTTTATCGGCATAAGATGATTGGATCTGTTGCTATGAGACATAATATTATTGGGGTCGCTATTCACTACGTAAAGAGTATCTAGGTGGTTAAAGGAGAGACACAAAGCAGCACTTTGTGAGCATTAACTACTTCAATTTATGTTTAAGTAACATTTAGCCGATGGGATCGTTAAAAAAATTAGAGATGCCACCGAAAACTCTGTTCGTTTGACATACAAACCATTTTAAGCAAATAACAGCAACAGATTATAAATTTATTCAAGTTAGTATTATAATGCAAGAAGCTTGAGAAAACATAGTTTGAATGTTGTGTTCTTCTTTACTAGTTAAATAAAGCTTCTCAGAGGAAAATGGCTCACAGTTACAGGTT